GAAGGAGACTGTTCTTGCTTTCTTATCCCCTCAACCACCTAAAAAGGTGAACAAAAATCCATGTAAGCAAACCATGCTTTTTGTAGGGAAAAGATTAAATTGGAAGTATATCATGTCGCTCCAAAAAGAGAAACTTAAAAACTCATTCAGCCTCCTATCGAATCCTCAACCTGCCAATGCTAGTAAAATCATGAACATTAAATTTAAAGAGTAAGATAAATTGCAATCCACAGATTGAAGGTCAGAAATCAATATGGATATAAAATAAATCAATATATGAATAAAAAAACTTACTTTGGAAGTTCCATAGGTGATTTACAAAAGACTGAACTCCCCTTTTGCGTTCTTACATTGTTTTCCTTTCTAGTTGTTTTTTGTGGTGCGTTCAACAAAAGAAGGAGCATTAGAGAAATATGGGTGATGGAAGATGAAAGAATTCGGAGCTGATGTACATCTCGTTGTTGTTAGTATGCACTTGACTTTTGAAAGATTCGGAAATGCAAAAGTATATGGACAACGTTTTAGATGGAGAAGACGAAAAGCGACGTTGATTTCAATAGAAAGAAAATGGGCGCACCTACAAAATTACTTTTCCCTAGAAACTGAGGACTTCATCAAATACGTCAATTTGAGGATTCAATATCCATAGATGACAATGGCGGAGGTAAGAGGAGAACTGGAGGCGGACATTTATGAGTGAAAGGGGGAGCGGTGAGTGGTAGTTATCGATAGAGAGATGTTGGTAGTGAGATGTGACTAAAACAAAGATAAGGTTTATGAGAGAACGTAATATACATTGAGACTTTTCAATGGAGCAAAAGTATTTGATGTCGATGGGAGATGAAGGCGGTGGGAAACGGTGGAGAAAAGACGTAGTGGTTTTGATCAAGCTTATCAAAAGGCTAAAGAAGCATCTGAATTGATGATGATGAAGAATGGTGGTGGAAGGGATAAATGTGTAGAGACTGTTGTATATCAGAATCAATAGACACGCAAGGAAACCAAAGGGTTTCTAGCCCAGTGGTATCCGATTCAAGTTCCATTGTGGATATAGGTTGAATAATTTAGAAGTAGTTTAATATATTTGTCGTTTAAAAAAAAAAGATTAGTTGCGAATAATGAATCCAATTATTATTATTATGATTACCATGTTTAATCCAGAAACCATATCAATACTTCTTGATTAGATTTGATTTTAAGAAAGGAGTAGAAGCACAACATCTTGTTACTGGACGAAAGTAAACATGAGATAGTAAAGTAAAACCAACATGTTGTCAGCTGATCTTGATCTTAAAGAACTGTGTTAGTTGTAAGCAACATAGTAAAACTCCAAGATTTAATACAGACTTATCGGTTTTCCAACAACAATGGAAAACGATAAACACAAAGTGAATACTCAGAAAGCTAAAAGAAATCGCCAAGAGAGGGAGAGGGCTTCGTAATCCGGGTGTCAAATACAGCTCCTCCTAGGGAGCTGTATTTGTAGGTATTGAAACCCTAGAAGACAATAAAGGGCCTTTGAAATTCGTGTGTCAAATACGACTTCTAGGGAGTTGTATTTATAGGTATCAAAACCCTAGAAGGCAACATAGGTCGGACCCTAGAAAAACTAGGCAAGTCGTTTTTTGGGCCTTCCAAAAGATTTTGTCATCTTATCCACAAAGTCAACGCTGGTCATCCGTTTGACCGGATCGGTCAAACCGATTTGACCCTAAATTACACCATTTTGCACGCTCCCAACATCGGCTAGTTCTAGGCTAGGCATGTGTGTGGGCTTGGTCTATCCATTGATCTACTAAACGTCTTTGAAAGCCTATCAAGAGAAAAACATTATAAACCCACTAAATGTTTCTTCCCCCACCAATATGGAATAGAAAAAACTTGCCAACTTGTAATATTTCATTTATAATTTCTAAAAAAGACCGAGAGGTACCAAATTTGTCAAATTGTAAAAGGTGACTCTAAAATGAGGAGGACTTGAATATATATATATATATATATATATATATATATATATATATATATATATATATATATATATATATATATATATATATATATATGCAATCGTGTGTATCGAATTTGGACTGTGCAGGTAGAATTGTTTTTTAAGGTAACAAATTGAAGAGGCAAAATGGATAGTTGAAACGAATTAGATAATATATTTTTTAGTAGTATTTTTAATATGGGTTAAATGTGGTACACAGTTATAGTTCAGGGACCGGAGATAAAAATTACCCCATCAAAAGTTCAAAAACAGAAATTCCCACCTGATTTGAAGTCCAAGTGATACAGGTTCTTATTCTTCGTCTTCTTCTTCGTCGTCGTCTTTCATTGTTCTTGATTTTCCGAAGGCAATTTGACCCCCACATTCATTATCTCTATCATCATTGTTCCGTTTCACATGATTTCTTAGTTTACAAAGAACCTCTTTCCTTTGTTTGGTCGAAAGCCAGCTATATTATCGTTGCACCCCAACTGTTCGATGAAATGCCTCTGTCAGCTTGAACTTGTATTTACTCGATCCATCATATAGTTTATTATAGATACTAAAACAGAGAGACTAAAGGAAATAACCAGGATTTATTAAACCCAAATTCCGTAGTAGGTTGACTTGCCCACATAATCCTCTTAATCACTCAACTAGAAAGTTACCATAATTAAGAAAATCTGCTTAAACTCTTTCATCTTTTCAAGAATGTTATGTCATTTATATAACCTCATTGACCAGTTTAATCAAAACTGATACGTTCATTTAATAATGATTTTGTCCATTCTTTACTCGAGGAAGGTATAAAAATGTTGTTTGTGGCTGTTCTAGTTTAGCCTTTTTGTCTGTAATGGTCAAAATATGTACGTGTTGATTGAGTTAATATCAGCTGTTAGTCTTAGTCTTCACTTTCTGAGTTTCATATATTCATTATGTCATTTACACTTGAACACTCATTAAGGGCATGGTTTATCATCCTGCATGCTTTCTTGAAGCCTATCATTAATGTATTAATTTAGCTTTTTAACTGGTAAACAGCCATGGAAACTAGTCTCGGAAGCTTGCTGAAAATTCTACCTCCAGTAGACTTTTGTTGTGTATATGGTTCAAGTCTTCATCCTAATAACAATGACAAGGTTAGTTCTCTCCATGTTTATAATAGTTGAACTTTCAATTTTTACTGAAATGTTCTTCAAATTTGGGGTCTGTATTTATGTTTCCTCTTTTTCTTTTTTTTCATTAAAGTCATCCATGGAAGATTATATTCTTGGTGTATCAAATCCTCAACAATGGCATTCTGAGGTATCTGTTGTCCTCCGTCTGTTTCTACTGAAATATTCTTAAATTTTGGGTCTTTATTTAACGATTGATATTCTTTTTATCTTCAAGAATCTGCAAATGAACCGGGATCACTATGCCTCATGGATGGTGTCTCTTGGTGGAGCAAAACTGGTTCTTTCTCTCCCTCTCCCTCTCTCTCTCTCTCTCTCTCTCTCTCTCTCTCACACACACACACACATACACACACTCATATGATGCCGACTTTATTTACTTCAAACATGGATTTGGTTTGGTTTTTAGATCACTAATGTAGCAGATCATATTGGTGTTGGTGTACATTTTAACCCATTTGTTTCATGGAACGACAAGGTAGCTTTCTGTAATGGGTCAATAATTCTTTCTTGTGTTTAATCATTATTTTTAGCAAATTAACCAACTTTATGAAAACATATGTCAGATGTATAAGTATGGGGTTGTTCAAACGGATGATTTAGTTCAAGATATGCTGAATTGGGAGAGATTTTACCTTAGTGGTCGCTTGCAAAAACCTGTATGACATGTTATTTCCATTTCACACCTTTTCTGATTGACATGTTATTCTACAACGTTATCAAGATTCTTACCAACATTTCTATGGTTTTTTTTTTTTTTTAATACGTGCTTTCAGGTGCATGTTGTTGTGGACAATAAGGAAATTGAAAATGTCAACTTAGTTAATTTGAGGGCTGCCTCCTCTGCAGCACTTCTGCTTTTGCCATCAAAATTTACAGAGGTTTGCATTTTGTATTAATTCTTATTATTAAATTGGTGAATATTGCTTTGACATGTCCTTGTATTTATCCTTGTACAGAGGGAACTTTATGCAAAAATATGTAGCCTCTCTTATATGGGTGACTTGCGCATGCTTTTTGCAGAGGATAAAAATAAGGTACGACATGATAGATGAGAAGATGTTTTGTGTTTGGAATCTATTATTTATTATTCTCTTTGGCACTTAAATCTTTTCTAAAGCTGCTTTATTGTTTTATTTCTGCATCAGGTGAAAAAGATAGTAGAAGGCCAATTTGATTTGTTCAGAAACATGTATAATCCGTTGGTTGAAGAGTACGCAACTAAACAACTCTTGAGACTCTCTTCATGTGCTGATCATCAAATGACCATTTCCCAGGTTTGTCTAAATTCTAAAAATCTCTATAACTAACTCTAAATTTCCAATAAAAGCAAACTGGTGCATGAAAAAAAGTCTTCATAACTTTATATTATCAAATGCCAGGATTGTAGCTTATCTGCAACATCCTCGGTTGTTTCTTCCCTTCCTGAATCCGTGAGAATCCAAATGGGAATGGGGCTAGCCGAGAGAAATACAGGTAATTAGGGTTATTTTCAAATCAGTACCAGTCAAAGTCCAAACGCAGTATAACCTGTTCTGTCATGTACTGTTCTTGTAGATCAAAATAGCAATAAAATCACTATCGGATCACGGGAAGAAGCTGCATCCCGCATGCAAAAAGTTTTGAGGCACAAAGTAATGATTTCAAGTGCACGACAAGCAGTAGCCGGTTTCATTACTGTCGGAGCTGTTCACGGAATTAAATATCTCGGCAAAAAGATGCAAAAGGCTTGGAAATCATCCACATAGTATAACTAATATCATTGTTTCCAATACAACATATAATGATTTTACTACTAAAAACAAATTTCATAACAACTTTTTTGTACTTTCGAATTTTTATTCATCACCAGCATTCGATCGGTTCCTCTGGAACCGATCGACGGACCTCCGCCCCGGTATTGAGTCAATCTCACTCGATACCGAATTCCTCCCTTCCAACCGATTAATCTCACGCCGCCTCGCACTCATCGACGAACTCCGCCCGTTGCCCGAAAAAATCTGCCCCAACAAACTTTCAACTGACTCCGGAGACGAATACAATTTTACATTTATAATCCCTGAAAACACCTCCAAAAAATTCGAATACACCGGGACAATAAGCTTGACAGTCGCCTCTTTTATCTGCGCCCGCAAATCAGCTTCGGGAATGCTATACCTACTCGTATGCCTTTGAGCAATCTCTTCAAACCCCTTCAAAAACGCTTCGAGTTTACCCTTTATAATATTCTCATTCCCGATTCCTTCATCTCCAATATCTTCTTTGTCAAGTAACCTCACTAACCCACCCCAAGCTTGCTTCTCGTACAAGTAAGCAGCTTCTTCCGCGACCACTTTGTAATTCTTCCTCATGTAATTCTCCCCCAAAAGCTTCCCGAGTTCCGTATTCCTAGTCCTCATGTAAATATACCAATAAGTATTCATGGTAAACACATGGTACATAACTTTATCTTTATACGCTGCCCTTTTCGTTTCGATATTCCTATGCAACGCTTCCATCACGTTCGAAATCGCATCCTTTAACAAATCCTCATCGGAATCCGTGATTCCGGTTCCGCTCTTCCAAATCTGTTCAGTCCGAAGGACACGGGCCATGGGTTGACAGTAGTTAACGGTGGTTAAGTACTTAAGGTAGTTGATAGCGTACCGGACTAGCTTTGGGACTGACCCGTCTTGTGGCGGGGGTAACCCGTCTTGGTTATCTTCTATTTGAAGACCGAATTCCCAATAAACTTTACTCGAAGAATGTACTAGAAGCTTCTCGAGTTCCCGAAACCGGGAACATATATCCACACCAGCTTCACCTTCGAAAACGTTTGAAAATTCTGTTTTTAATCTTTCTAAAGAATCAAACATGTCGAGGAGTTTGAAGAGCTTTTGTGGCTCTTTGTTGCTTCTGGCAACGCCTTCACCGAACCGGAAGAACACCGCCATGATTTTGTCGGCGATTTTTACGAAGCATTCTTGCCAGATGGCGCCTTCCATGATGTTCCCGAGGACTTGGTGGCATAAGGTTTTTTCCGATATGAAAACGGTTCTGATTGCTAGCTCGAAGTGCTGGATCCAAAGAGTTATGGAAGTTTCTAGGCTTTCCCATTCCATTTCGTCGATTTCTTCTGGTTTGTATGTTCGGAGGTAATCAGGGTTTAGTCTCATTAACGCCTTCGCTGCTCGCTTATACCTAACTTTCACAAAAATGTCGATGCATATATCCAAGCAATCGTTAGCGGTGAGTGTTTCGGAAATCCGTCGGAGAACTTCAACCTCCATCTCAGTCCCCAACTCCGTTGCCGCCGTCGCCGCTTCTCCATCGTCGTCATCGCCCCCGATGTTATGATGCCTTAATTGCAGTAGAATCCCCTCGAATTCGTCTTGTAAATTCAATAAAGCTTCGTCAAGCAACCCATCAAATTTCATGGAATCGACTTCTGTTTCGTATAAAGCGTTGAGAGCTACCAACGTTTCTCTCAATCGATGCGTTCTGAACTGGTCGGTGGCTTTAGTCCGGCTCAAAAACTCCACCACCTCTTGGAGTCTCTGAATCGCCGGACCACCTTCTTGGCTGAGCAAATTAATTGCGATGTTTAACTTATCCACACAATCGACATACTTGATGAGTAACCGTAGCCGCTTGTTCTGGGACTTTTGTGCGGGAAGTTTGGTTGAAATGTCGTCGAGTTTTCTTTGTAGAGATTCGGATATACGGAAGCCATCGATGAGTACGAGAGCAGGTGAAACTGCACGGTTGATTCTTGTTTCGAGTGCTTTTGAGGCGATGGAGAGCGATTGAAGAGGGGCTAGCCTTCTTGAAGCGACAGTTAGAGTTTCTTGTAGAGTGTCAAAGTTGTCATCGAGTTTTTCCAGGTTCGTTTGTAAATTCGCAGATGATTTGAGGAGGGTTTTGAGATCAGAGCAGGCTAATTCTAGCTTGGTGAGCATTGGGTAGTCTTCCATGGCGGGTGGTGGAGGTGGTGGGGGTGGTGGCGAGGGTTGGTTTATAAGACAAGACTAGGGTGGCAACATGTACAAAGAGACGGGGAGAATTAAGTAAAAGACTAAATCTCGATGTAAACTAAGAAAAAGAAAACAAATGGCAATAGAAAATTGGGTGTGGACAAATCAATGGGTTTGGAGTTTGGACTTTGGATACAGCCGTCAGCCGGATGTGTTTCATGATTTGGTCACACATTGGTAGTGACTTGTTGAGAGTTGACACTCTTAAAACAATGGTGCACAAGAAGGGTGAGTTGTTAACAAGATGATCGTGGTTTTAAAAAATATTTACCAACTTCTTATACTTTTTAATTTATTTTCAAAATAGTTGTATTTTTTTTTAATTAAAAACAAATAGTTTTTAACAAGACTCTAGATCTTGCGAAAAACCGCATCAGTACATCACCATTTAGTACAAAGAAAACATTTTCAGCATATACAACTCTTATTATGCCAGATTAACAATTTAACATGTCCTCTTACAAATACTAGTATATTAACCAATATAACAATGTTAGAAATGTAAAAGACGTTGATTATTCAAGATGCCTTAGATTCTGGTTATGCTTTAGACGAGGCCAAAGATTACGCCACCAAGGTTCATGCGACGCTTTAAATTTCAAAGGCAGAACACTTGGTCGGCAATGAAACTTCCTAGTTCCTTGCCCTTCGAAACAATGTGGTAAGGAAGGTGGGTTGATATATTTACCATCTTTTGGTAAATAATCTAAAGACTACACTACTTTATTAATTATTTTTTCAAAATACAATTATCTACATAAAAACTCCAAAAAGGGTCCCGAACCAGTCTAGGGTCGGTTCGGTCTTTTCCAAGATATGTCATCATTCGGACGAGTCTTTCGTTCGGTTTGGATTTGTGGTTTTTTGTTCGTTTCATTTTTTTTCAATCCAATTTCAATTTCACTTTTTTTGGTTTTGGATTCATAGAGTTGTGCTAGCATGGATAGGTTGTAGGTAGGAGTTGGTTGTTTATCTCTGTTGTTTTCTTTATGTTAGTGTATATATATATATATATATATATATATATATATATATATATATATATATATATATATATATATATATATATATATATATATATATATATATATATAAAATTAGATTTGCTATATATCTAATAATAAATATTTTATTTTGTTATGTTAACAACTTTATAATTTAAAAGGTTGAGGTTATCTATAAAATGGATTGGATTGTGGTAATGGTCTCGAGTCTGTCTTGAAATGGTTCTCATGTTTTGGATCGGTCTCGGGTCGGTTTTACAATAGTCTGATCTTTTTTCGGTTCGGTTTCATTATTTTTTCAGGACCAATCTAGTTGTGCACTTGTATCTCAATATACATTTTAACTTAAGTTTACATCTTTTATAATATTATAACTATTTTTGTAGAACATTTTATACAAATAAATTATAGTTTTCAGTTTTGAGTTACTATTTACGTTTGTCAAATATATCCCAAGACCCAAGTTTTTGTGTATCATATGTGTACCAACTCAACAAAATAAATACTTTTATTATAAAAAGTTGTTTTCACAAATCTTATCCGTAGGTTTTAATGAAATCAAGACCTGTGTAAATGAATAATGTCATTAAAATTATGAATAAACTTTATGATCGTAAAATGGCAAGTAACTTGATAAATTTTGAAATCGAACAACCTACGATTTACTATTTTTAATTTTTAATTTTTTTTTTAATTTCCAGAGATAGTACATCTATCGGATTGGCTAAAATATGTCCGAATCTGGTCTTTGTGCGATCTTAACGAGTTTGAGTGGGTTCGGTCTTGTCGGATTCTTTTATTTTTTAATAAATAAATATTATACTAAATCTAAATATAAAAACTATATTATTATGTCAGTTATCTTATTTTATTCTTAATGAAACAATTTAACAGGTATGCATTTAAATATTGGAGGATTTTTGACATATTTTATCCGCTCTCTTTTATATATGATCATTTAAAAATCAGACATAACCTTAATGAATCTAACCTCTAGTAAAAATGGATCCAAAATTGCTACATATACGAAGTATTGGTTTCGTAACTTTTTGTTACATACACAATATTTATTCATAGCATACGTATATTCCTACAAGTATATTTTTTTAGATCGCTTTTGTTTAATTTTACTTAAGGTAACTAGCCTAAATAATTAGTTTGATAAAAGATGATAAGGAGCATACCAAGTGGAGAAAGGATATTAATTATTTTAACGTGATAACTTATGTTGGTTATTTTTGTTAAAATTTAAAATAAAGGCTGTGAAAGAATCTGTATGTCATTGTCTCTCACTCTCTTGTTCACTTTTATAGTTAAAAGGTATAAAAAAAATAGGGTAGTGTTTTATCCATTTGGCTTCTTTTATTTGTTGATGTACTAGTAACTATAGCAAATGGAAGCTAGTTTTCTACGATTATGAATGCAACAAGTTATATAATATGCTTTTTAAATAGGGGTGTTTAAATTTACATACTGAATTTGAAATAAAAAGAATAAATGTCTACTGCGACTCCATGATATTAAAGCAATCCTTTTGGAATTGTGTCATTACGAAAAAATTATAATTTTTCAAAAGCAACCCTTTTGGAATTGGATCATCGTATGCCTTTCTTCTGGTCGTCCCTTGATTGAAACATTCAGGTTTGAACTTTAACTTTCTTATTTTAGCATCCGGCTTCTTCATGATTTCCTTTCATACGTAACTGCATAACTTTAGCAGCCAACTGGTTAGCACTCATAGTCAAGGATGCTGATGCTGGTGTCATTTCTTCTGCATTATCTAGCTTACAAAAGTTCTCCAATGATGGAATATACAATAATCATGTATGTGAAAGACTGAAAGTAGAAGTTAAGTCTTTATATGAAAAAGAGGAGCTGTTTTAGTGAAAAAAAGCATCAGGAGATGTAGAAGGCCAAAGCTAACAAAGGTTAACTGCTTGTTGTTGATCGGAGGTAACTTAGGCATTTAAACAAACAGGTAGAGTGCAATGGATAAACCCTGATACCCTAGAAAACTTGATGGACATCAACCACGAAAATTAATCAAAAGATATCCGCATTATTCATAATGGCAAGATCAAAGCTGAATCATAACTTGGTTCCACCAATCTTGGTAGTTGTAAGCATAAAATCATCTTTACCAAGAAATAAAAATGGGTTAATTACACCAATCGTCCCTGGTGCATATGCCGAAAAGCACGTTCAGTCCCTATTTTTAAAAATTAACTCGGACCGTTCCTCGTTTGGTTTAAACTTGCACGATTGATCCCTCGTTAGTTTAAATCTGCACAATTCATCCTTACCCTCACATAAAATGATTATATTGCCCTTGTTGTTTTATTTTGTATTAATAAGAAAAACAAAAAATAAATTTCAATCCTGTATTTTTACATTTATTAATTATTTCTAAACACTTAAACCTATCACTCCCACCCCATTTACCAACAAATACCCTAACTCTTCAATCCCTCTCTTCATCGTCCCTCACCTCCCTTTGAAATTAGAATCCGACCACCGGAGATACAAGGACCATCGGAAACCCGCTTGATCGCCGCCACGGACCACCACCTCACTTTCCTTGCTCTATTCATGTCGGAAATAACATCACCACCTGCAACTGTTGATTTAACACATCCAACATCGACCTTCTTCCCTCTCCCTCTCTTGATTTTTCTTGTACCAAAATCTCTGGAACATTCCGCCAATCTTCTCCTCTCCAGATACTCAGATTTCTGCTGTTCCGTATACCCAATTCCACTGCTAACAATCACCCTTTTCTCCACCATCTTCTCCTCCATATCCACCATCCAGTACACCACAAACCTCTGTAACTAATTATATACACCAAAAATCTATTAACCTCTAATTATTCATTCCATCACAAACACACTTCACCTGAAACACCTCACCTCTGTAAGCTCCATCCTTATCGAGAAAGATTTGGTGAAAAACACCAGATTTGGTATGGTGAAATTGTATGGTGAAATTGTATGTAAGTAGAAACGACTGATGAAATTCCACCATAACTGATCAATTAGGTCTTGCGAATAATCACATACACACAAACATACACTAAATACGGGTAATTAAAAGACGGGAGGAGAGGCTTTTTATTACTTACCATACTTTGAACCACTTATCAGCGGGATGAAATTCTGCCGTTTGAAGGGATTATGATAAAGTCTATTTCCAGATGACTAATCTCCTAAGAACATAACAAGAAAAGGAGAGCAACTTTGGAACAATTTTTCTGATTTCATTCGTAACCCAAAACAATAGATTACAAGCAACTTAAATATGCAATTTGATCCTAAAATTAAGATGGAAATGGGAACATGCAGGAAATGGAAGACATGGACTAAACCAACTACTCTTTACCGGGAAATAATGAAAACGTGGACTCTATCTAAATGCATGCATAATGGAAATAAGAATCAGTCAACTAAATAAATGTGTTTGTATCAGTTTACTGAACCGGATTGGAGTATGCCTTGCTGCACCGGTGAGTAGAAATCAATGAGAGTAGTCGGCATGGGCCATCAACGAGATTCAACGCGGTGACGTGGCAGCCGACGACGACGTTATGACGGGGGGAACACCACCCCCTATCTCGTTGCATCTCGTCGAGGGCATCTCGTCGAGGACATCTCGTGGGCGTCATGACGAATTGAAACACGAAACATTTTACCGTTTTTTTTTACCGTTTCAAAACGGTCGAAATTCAATTAAAAAAAAACTTTTTTTTTTAATCTTTTTAGCTATATATATATATATATATATATATATATATATATATATATATATATATATATATATATATATATATATACATACATACACTCTTTTTAATTTAAACTTTACATATCTTTTTAAAATCCTCTCTATATTTTCTACACTTTGTTAATCAAAAAATGGAGCAAAACCCAAACACCCCCCTCCATCATTAAACCCAAACATAACCTCGCCTCTCGGATTTGCGGGGTATTAAAATTATTTCAACCTTTTGTTTTCTCAAGGTTCACCACAAATACCATATCAAGGTGCCGCTTTCAATACCGCTTCACCGCCACTACAATTTCCCAACTTACCTTACGTTCAACAAAATCAATTTGGTCAAAACCCAAATTTACAACAAAATCTTTTCTCTACTTTTGGTTCAATGCAACAAACAACCAATCAACCGTCGCCTACAACACAACCAACAGTTCAAGTGGAAGCGGGAAGTAGTAGGAAAGGGAAAGGGAAAGGAAAATCAAAAGGGAAATCAATAGTGGTGGAATCTGAAAATGCAGACGTTCCACAATGGTGGACACCGGAGGAGGAATACGCTTTGACGGCGGCTTGGTGTGCTACTTCAAAAAACAAACTTTGCGGAAATGGAATGAAAAAAGGAGCTTATTGGGGGGCGTTGCTCGACAAGTTTCACGCTATTTTAAAGAAAAATTCGTATCGCAACAACGACATGTTGAGCAGCAATTGGGGTATGATAACTAAGCGGTGCATCAAATTCAACGGTATTTACAACCGGATTGCGGCGCAACAACAAAGTGGAACCAACAACTTTGATTTGTTCAAAGTTGCTAAGGAACAATATCGGGTCGAAATGGGTCATGTTTTCGACTTTGAAAAATCATGGGAATTGTTGTGAGCGGATCCAAAGTGGAATAAAACGCCTACATCGTCGGAGGTTCAATCCAAAAGGTCTCAAAATTCTAGCTCGATTGATGTGTCGGGCGCACGGACTAACATCGACCTAAACGCCGATGACGATGAGATCCCGGATGATATCCAAGAGATATCCCCACCACGACGACCGCCCGGACGCGACAAAGCGAGGAGTGCTGCAAGACATGCGGAGGAGGTGGAGACGAGAGCAAAAGATGCGGCGGAAATGAGAGCGAAATTCGACGAACATAATTTATTAATAAAAGAAAAAAAATGAGTTGAAACGTCGTCATTTGGAATTCCTGGAAAGGCAGGCACGGGAGAAGCAGGAGCAAAAAGAGAGGGAACTAATGACACAACAGTTGTCAATTCTCCGGACAAGCGAGGAGGGTTTAACGTCTGCTGATCTAGCGATGCTACAAGCAATGAAGGAACAAATTAGGAAAAAAATATTTGGGTTAATTAGGATTTGTGTGTGGTATTTAGTAGTGATTTCAATGGTATTTTAATTATTAATTTAGGTTTAAAATTATGTTTTTTTAATTGTAATCGGATTTTAGATTTTAAATATTATGTCTTTTTTTTTTTTTTTAAATTATATGTTTTATAAAAAAAAATATATTAGTTATTAAAAAAACGCAAAAAGAAAAAAAACGAAAACAAAAAAAAGGTAAAAAAAACGAAATAGTAAAAAAAATACAAAAATAAAAATATTTATTTTCAAAAAGTTGGTGTTGCATCTTGTTGCCCATTTCCTCACTTGGTGTTATAACACCATTTGTTTATGTGGCATGTGAGGTGGCATAACTTGGTGTTGCACCTTGTTGCCCACACCCAATGCTCTGAGAGAGTAGAAAGTGAACAGGGGGAAGGGGTCACGCACGCTGCTAGGGATGAGCATAAGCGTCATTTGGCAAGAACAGAACCTGAACGGAGCAGCAACGGGCGGTTCTTAGAAAGATAGAATCGGATCGAGAACCGTTCTTGTCAGATATTAAATACTAGTTTATAACCCGTGATAACCACGGTTATAAAACTAATTAAACTTTCGTATTAAAAAATCAAAATCATTAATAAATTATTTTAAATAAATTATTATTTAAGGGATATTTTTTTAGTTATATAAAATTATAATCGTTGATTTAAATACCCATGTATTTCATTAGCCCCTTTTGATGCTATTATGTCTTTATTTCCTCTGTTATCTCACTTTAATTCGAATTCTATCATTGTTACGGGTCGGATAAGGTTGCGTTGAAGGTGTGCGGTCGGATAAATAAGGAAAGGTTAGGGTTTAATCCAGTGGGTGCATTAGAAATGGAAACTGATGAAGAACAAGAAACGGGTTTGAAGGAAATAGAGTGATTGAGGGTTCTTGATGAGCAGGTGATCAATTAATTAGATTCTTATCTTTGAAACAAAGCAGATTATATGAAACCATTGAAAAAATGGATAAATTGAAAACAAAATATAGGTTTGCATGTTGAAGACGAAGAATGCGATCATGAAATCAAGCCAACATCACCGATTTGCTTCAATTTATATTATTTTCCTGTGTTATGATTAATCAAAAGGCGTGGTGTGTGGATTCAGAAGTGTGTCTTAATCTTAGTGTGTGTTTGTGTCTGTTTTAGGAAGAACACAATCAGATAAGAGAGAGGGAGAGAGAAGTGTCATTTCCTTTATAATAAATAAATAAATAATTAGACGAATTAAGTGAGGTGACATAAATTGTAACCAGGTTACCCATTCTTTTTGTCAAAAAATGACCTATTGACCCGACAAAACCAACTTTCTTCTGTTAAAAGGCACAAAAATAACTTAAGGAACTGAATAAACAAATGTGCAAAACATCGTAGGGTTATAATGTCATTTCCCTAAAAACAAAATAAAATTTTCACTCATCCATATCCCTCTTTTGACAGACTCCATTGCACTTATAACATCTGGACTCCCAGGTCTATTATTGTGTGTTTAATTTTGAGATTTATTGAGTGACTCGATGAGTTTTGATTCTAACTCGTCGAGTTGACAACCTGGGATTAATGAATGGAATCGACCAGTCAGAGAGCCGACTCATCGAGTTGGTGTTGTGTGGATAATTTCAGTTGAGATGATTTCAGTTGGGATTGTAGTAAAATTTGGAGGTTCAACTGTTGGGTCGGGAGTTGACCTGGTGCTCAGTGTTAAAAGCTATATTTGAGAGGGAGTTGGGGCTTATGATTATTAGATGTCAGATGATACTTCTGAGCAAGCATGATCATTTTCTTGGGTTTGAGGACAACGTGTTGAGAGTTCATTGTTCATATGGGTTCCTGGTGAGGTGTGACCCTTTCGTTCCTTGGAGTATGATCTGGATCGTTTAGTATACCTGGTATAAGTGATCGGTAGCCAATTATTGGTCATTTGACTTGTTTCTATCAATCACAATAAGAGAATCAGAGGGGCGGTGAGTTATCAGGGTTTGTTATTCGAGGAGTGAATAACATGGTGATATCTCAAGAGGGAGGTCTGGCAGTGAGACAGGTTACTAGAGTTTCCAGGTTCTAGAGAGTCAGAACGGGTATCGTAGCGGCAAAGGGGTCTGTCCTTTTTTGGGTTGGGAGTTCCTATCTGGATTCAGGTGTCCTTGGAGGAAGATAATTGTGTGGTATGAGATCCTTTCACTGGTGCTTTTCGGGCTATTGGGTTCAATATATGTGTTGTTGAGGAGCAATTTCGAGGGCGAAATCTAATTCAAGTGGAGGAGAACTGTAACATCCGGACTCCCAGGTATATTATTGTGTGTTTAATTTTGAGATTTATTGAGTGACTCGACGAGTTTTGAGTCTAACTCGTCGAGTAGAGTCGAGTTGACAGCGTGGGGTTAATGAATGGAATTGACGAGTCAGAGAGCCGACTCGCCGAGTTGGTGCTATGTAGTGAAACCCTAATTTCTTGGGGTTTGGGGACTATATAAGAGAACTTATGCCCTCATTTCTACCTCACCAGCTGCCTAATATTCCTTTGTAAAACCTTAAACGTGTGTAGTGAGCTAAGAGAGTCTTAGATGCTAAAATTGGAGTAACCTAGTGCATCTTTTGAGGAGAATATGAGATTATCCAACAAGGAAGCAAGAGAATTCGTTGGATCTAGTGTATCTTCATGCAAGGGATTCAATAGGTGGTAAAAGCTTGCACCTTTCTCATTTATTTACCCAGATCTCATTATTATGGAAGATTAGGGTTTCTACCACCTTTTGTTGGGACTTTGAGCATATAGAGTTATCATGAGGTTTGGACCTGATCTGGACCTTGTGAGGTCCCAAGAGTCCAAAGGTCCCAACTTTATTCATCCATATGAGGGTTATTGTGCTTAAC